TAATTATTTTCAAAATAGTTAAAAACGAAAATGTTTAGAGCAATTCTTATTCGTTAATCAAATTTAATTGTATACATCAAACCGTTATTATTTATTTTATTTTCATCGCTTTGTTAATTTCATTATATTGTCACCGTTATTTTATTATAGTCTACTTCACCATTTTATTACTTACTAAGTTTGTTGCATTTTTTAACGAGTCTCTAACTCTGTTACAGTTATCTTACAACATATTTACTAACTTTGCTACTGCTATTTTATAATTCCAAGCTTCGTTACCCTTACTTTATACTTCCTCTTTTTATACATGCTGTATTTGCTTTTTCACATATTTGATGTTAACAAGCGAAGGAAATAAATACACTGTAAATAAATACTTAATTTATTTATTTTTGGTTTGTTTTCTCTTCGACTGAACATCTCAACTAACTCCTCTTCATTATATCTACGACAGACAACTATCAAACTACTACCATGTGATAAAACATCGTTTGTCATCCTTCCTCGTAACTTGTAAAATACTTAAGATGCAGTTGAAGCTCCATCAGGCCGAGTGAGAGCCGTAAATCCATGAGATATGGGCTCCAGCTGGAGAAGAATTCCATCTATTACTGCAAGTATTAAAAAGGAAAACTAAATTACAAACAAAACGAAACCGCTCTGCCACGCGGCTCTCGAGGGAATTCCTAGTCAGTAATTAATGTTCTTGCCCCTGATAATAATTCTCACGAAAATACATTAACTTCTATTTAGCATTCCACATTAAGTTTAAGTAGCAGAGAGTTCTTCCATGACCGCTTCATTAATAAATGTACGGCTGAAGAGTTGGGAAAGGATAAGCCGGAGTTGGTGGCCAATTCGAGAAATCTCCAAACACTTCTTTCGGATGAAAACTTTTTATTATTATTCAGAAGTTATGTCAAAAAACGCTGAGAAATTTTATTGTTCTACATTTATTTCTGGAGTTTCCGCAACAGATTTAAAAATAAGGTTTTTGTACAAAAACAAAACAACTATTTTTTTCTCTACTTTAGTTTATTTCAACTATAACCAACTTTATAACTAACTATAACCAAGCAATGTTAACTCTACTCTTAAAAACAGTGCAGAGGAAAGCAGAATCAAAAAAATCATTGATGATACACCATTTGCTTAGTTCTGGTCCATGTTTTCCTCTAGTTCCCTAGTTTGAAACTTTTCGCCCCGAAAATTCATAACCCCGTCGATATGTGCTCCCTCAAAAATCAAAATATGCTTCCCACAAACCTTTTGATGCCGCAACTTACGCCCAGGTGTTGTCTGTACGGAAGATAGGGTATTGAACGGTTTTTTTCTTCAGTATACGTCTTGTTATAGTCCACAAGATATTAAAAAAAAAAATAAATCAACAGCTTTGTTAATTTTTATTCTAAAATCTCCTTATAATAGTAATTAAATAAATAAGAACAGTGTGTAATTAAAAATTGTCTGTGAATATAACAATTCAAAGTTTACAATTTTCAGTGTCAAGAAAACAGGATGTGAAAAAAATTTTGTGTAGTTTTAGATATTAATATTTCTTAGGAATATGACTGAAAATCAAAATCATTGTAAAAAATAATAGTGGAGTGGAGTAGGATGGTTGGTAGTATGCAAGGATAACTTAGTTACCTCTTCCTAGAAACCCCTTCCCTACAACAGGCCAGGAACCAAAACCTTATCAGTCTTTATCTGAGTTTCTTTCCGATTAGAATATAATCGCTTAGTAAGGTAACTTTTGTTTTATATCTTGGTTATTAGTCTTTGAAGTTCTAGAGCCCAATCAAACCTATAACATATAATATGCCGAAGAATTAATGTGAATGCGGTGAAAATTATTACTGTATGTATAATTTTCACACACTAATTTCTTTGATCATTAATATTATGACCTTAACCGCTTAAGTCGAGGAATCATGACAGAAGTTATTTTGCGGACCTATCATACTTACCTTAAATCTTGTTTTCTTTATCTCTTTTCAAAATAACATTTAAAAAAGAAAATAATAATTTAAATTACTTAAACATAGGTTTGTCTATTTTCTAATAGATATCCCTTTTCTTAACAATGATTGATTTTATTTGTTAACCAATACTTGATATCAATTTTATCCTTAATCCCTGTAAATCCTTGGCAATATATTTCTAGTACTATATATTTGTATATCCTTTAATTCCTCTTTTAAATTTAACGGTTTTATTATATTCTGTTATTGTTTAATATGATTTTTTTTTTTTACTAATAGTTAGCCTTTCTTTAATCCTTCTATTCATTAAAAGTCCATTTTTGTAATTTCTTAGATACTGGATTATTGATGTACCAATTATTAGTTGTTTGACCAATTAATTTGTTTGTTTTTTTCATTCTGCAAGGTAGAAGAAAATTCAACTGTATATTCAGCTTATTGATCTTTCAGATTATTTACAATGTCCCTTACCAAACATTAGATATTTGCATGAATAAAAAAAGTCTTATCCTTATCCTGCAACACATTTTATAATAATATATATTATTAATAACATATTAATAATATTCTAATTACCTAGTGTTTCACCATATCATCCTGTTTTGATTCATTGTTGTGATGTATATTTTGGTATCGTGGAATCAAACACCTACCTCTCCTCTCAATTTTTTTATTATTGTCAATGGAATAAATTGTAGCACCTAAAATTGATGTGTTTTTGACTTCCTGTATAAGCTTTACTGATTTTGGATATGTTTCTCTTGAATGTTTTATAGACTAAATACTACATTCATAAAATCATCATTTAAAGAGAGTGTTGTACACCCACAATATATCATAATAAAAACATATCAATGTTCTACTTACTGTATTTTAAAACTCTTATTTCTACAATTTATTTTTAAACATCAAATTGAAAAGTATGTTTTTGAATTATGAGCTGTATTGAAGGAATGAGAGACTCCACTAAGAGTGGGATGTGCCCATCACCACAGGATCAATACCACCTGTCTTTCTCCTCTAGAAATTTTATTACTCTCCTTTTCTTAAAATCGATTCAAGGAAAAGTATTATCAGAAATGTTGTTGTTCATATTCGGTTACTGTGACCTGTTGCATGTGTTTTTCAAGTTCTCTTGTTTGGAAGTTTCTCCAAATTAAAAGCCTACAAAAATCCAGTTTCCTCCAAAAAATCATAACTCTTCCAAAATGTGTCCTATATAAATACAAAGGTCCACTAAAATCTTGTTCTTCATAGATATTTAGATTCCCTATACTAGATATCCAGTCAATTTAGAAATAAAGTCTACTTTACATTCTAAAAAACACATCTAATTTTCAGTTATATATATAAAAAAAACTATTTATGTATAGGTATATACCTACATAAAATATATTTAGTATATTTTTATTCCTATTTTTATGGTTGTATTCTTTTTTAGCCCATGAGATTTTTGGAACGGAATGTTGTCAGATACTCTATAATCATTGAAAATTAGTTTGTAAACATGTTTTTACGTTTCCAGAAATAAAATATTAATTTAATTTTAAACGTTTATCGTTTTTAATTAGAAATTAACCATTACATGTTGGTTGTGGCTTAGCTACATTGACAGAATTATTAATTTTATATTTTATTGTATCTTATAGAATTCTATAGAACTCCTGTCATGTTATTTCCTGTTTGAATAGAAAATCTATGTTTCATTAACAACTTTCACCATTCCTAGTTTCAGGTCATAGTATGTCAATCACTGATTAGTGTTTAATTTTAGATAAGGGAATTTCCATAATGATATAATTTCACTTACCTTTTAATTTTTTTAGTAATCTTCTTTTCAAACTTTTGTTGCCTTTTTCATTAATGTCTTATTAAGACTTTAGTGTTGTTAAAGATATCTATCTTTATATTTGTTTAATAGGCTTCAGTTATAGGCTTCTCAACATGGTTCTGATTTTAGGCAAGGAATATCATGTGTTAAATAATGTGCCATTTGAGCATTAAAGTCTCCATGACATATTTTTTCTATCATTTCTAGCACATTTATCCTGATTTTTAATGATATTTTATCCTATAAGATTTTATAAATACAAAATTAAATATTATAAAATATAATGTCATTACTGACGATATTTGATAACGTTTGTTATGTATACTTTTATGTGATAAAATGAAAAAAGAGACAGTTTTAAACACTGAACTGATTCCTAACTTTTTGTACACAGATTTTTTCAACTGCTTAATTTTTTTCACTTAAATTATTTATTAAATTATATTTATTTATTAAATTATGACCCCAGTGATTCTTCCTTATTCTCCTTGTTTTTTTTCCTAATATCCCTCATTATTACTAAGATTGCTGGATATTATAGTTCTATAATTTGATAATATTTAAGTTTTTGAGAGCCCATAAGATCTCATATTGCTTGATGCTATGTGAAGGAAATTTTTTTACATTCTGCTCTGTAATGGCATTTGATTATTTCTCTCTGTCCCATTTCATAAAACGGAAACAATACTTCCTTATTAAAAATTGCTAAGCTTTTATTATTATTTTTTGGTATACAATCCTTTTTGAAAAGCCTTATAGATTTCATTTAAGCATCATTTATCTGTTTACTTCTTTGAATTTCCATCGTTTTATGGAAAGTATACTTTTATGTTATGTATTTCCTAATTACTTATAATTTGAGGCAATATGTCAATACTTATGTCTAATTTTTATATAATCATATTCCTTATTCTAAAAGGATCATTTTCCTCTATTATGAAGATTGTTGAAAATTTCATTTCAATAATTCACAATTTATATCAATAAGTACACATACTTTATTTTTATTTATGAATCATTCTTGCAAAAATTGTAATTTTTAATCTTTCAAACTTAGTTTGGTCTTGATCAAATGTGTTATTTATTTCATATTTTAAAATTTTTTATATGTTACTACTATATTTTCTTTTAAAACCTGTATCAAATGCCTAATCAATATAAGCTGTATTGTATTTCAGAAAATAATGGAGGGGTTAAAGGAAAGTATCAACATATTAAAGGATGAAGTGGCTAAATTTAATATTTCCGAACACATTGAACAACTTGGATCCATACACCGGGCTGTTTATTATGGAGACATAGTCAAGTTAGAAGAATTATTGCGGCGTGGCGAGGATGGTGATGATGAAGATGGAACCCCCTTCAACTATACTGCAGCACATTGGGCAGCGGTGAGATGTGATGCTGACATATTGGACTTGTTAAATGATTTTGGAACTAATATGTCAGCTGTTGAAGGAACAGACCTGAGACCACTCCACGTTGCTGCATTGGCTGGCAATTCAGCTGCATTAATATGGCTTCTGGAAAATACTTATGATATAGAATCAACGGATATATATGATCAGACTCCATTGCATCAGGCAGCACTCAATGGATGTTTACAAGCGGTAAAGATATTAGTGGAATATGGGGCATCAATGGAAGCAACTGATGAATATGGAATGACACCTGTATGCCTTGCAGCAGCTCGAGGATTTAGCCATATAGTGCATTTCCTTCTTCAAGAAGGAGCGAATCCAGCTGTCCGAGATATTGATGGTAAAACATTACTTCATGCTTCATCGGCAGTTGATGATGTTGCAACTATAGTTTGTTTACTGAAAACAGGAATTTATGTCAATGCAAAGGATAATATGAATAGTACTCCTCTACATGATGCTGCAAAGAATGATTGTTGTAAAGCAATTAGACTTCTCCTGCAATCTGGTGCTGATAAAATAGTCAGGGATATTGATGGTTGTACCCCCTTTGACAGAGCAAAGGAAGCTGGCCACAAAAAGAGTATTACACTTTTGATGGATAAAGAGGAGGGTGAAACTGTACTTTTAAAAGATTATGTTGAAGAAACAGAGTGCAATGATATGCAAATTGATTCCACTACAAGTTTTGTGGAACCAGACTCAAACTTCAGTGACATAGTTACGGAAAATAGTTTACTCATTGATTCGACAACAACTTATGTGGACTTAAGCGATAGACAGATGGAAAATAGTGATGTTCATACAACAGATAAACATAATGATGCAGAGAGTAATAATGTTATGGACAGGGAAAATTTCACTGTAAGTTGTAATTATAACAATGCTTGTGATTACGGAGATGATAAATTAAATTCAATATGTTGTGACGATTCAGTAGATGAAGAGGAGCCTAAACTCCAACTTGATTTTTCCGCTTTAACACCCGATGATATTAATAAAATAATATTTTAAAATGTTCACTGTTTGAATTTTAAAATAATTAAACAAGAAATAATAACTTTTTTAATTGAATAATTATGCTTTCAATGTTTTAATTTTGGATTGTAATTTTAAAAGGAACGAAGTGTCATTTTATAAATTATGTAGAAAAGAGGATCTTCATGTAGGTGTGCTCCTTATTATGTAATTGAAGTTCATATAAAATTATATACTTACCATTACAAAATTGTGGGTTATTTTAAAGCATTATCAGTGAGATTGTCAATTTTGAATTTGAAGGTATTTTCAATAAATTGCTTTGCAAGAAACTTTATTTATAATCAAACAAAACTTTTGTTAGTCTTAAAATGAATGACATCAAATCTAATTTTTTAATTGTTGTTCAAAATTATTTTGTGTGTATTTGTTTTTTCCAATTTTAAATAAATATTTTGATTTTAAATATTATTTTTGGAATACTTTCTAAATTATCTGCCACCATCCCTCCTAATTGTTTCGATTGAATCAATCGTGATGCCATTTTGCTTGCATATGTTGTTTTTATAATTTATAATTTATTATAATTAGTCAATTGCCAGGAAAATCAAAATAAAGTTAGTATAGAAACTGCAGTAATTTTATATTTTTTATATTTTATTATAATTCATGTTATCACTGAATACTTTAAATTTATATAAAGCAATTAAGTGAAACATCCTAATGTTCATAAAAATACCTTTAAGCAATTTTTAAAAATAACTTATTGTTTTATATGTATATACATTTTTGTAATGATAGTTCCTGCAGTAGATATGTTTTTACTGGTTATGAATCTATCACTGCTGTAATATCTGTTAAAATAAAGTAGTTTGTACTTTTAGTCCTGTAAAGTTAAAAAAATTTAAAGATTTTTAATTCCTTTAGTTAATTCATCAAATTGGTAAATAACATCCCGAAGTAAATCAACTACCTCAGTATTCTTTGCTTGTTTTGCCAAATCGAGGGCCGTGTATTCGCGCCCATTCTTTATATCGACGGAAACTCCCTGGTCGAGGAAGAGGGCCACCGCGGCTCTGGTAGTGGTAGCGGCGCAGTGGAGCGGGGTGTCCCCCGCGATGTCCCTCTCCTGCATCGTGTCCTTGCACTGCTTCAGGACCAGCTTGATCGTCTCTAGGTCGCCGCTCTCGGCCGCAGCGTGGAGCAGCGTCTTCTTGTAGTGATCGCAGGTCGCAGGGTTCGCTCCATTCTGGAGAAGGAAGGACACACCTCTGCTCTGTCCATTTACAGCTGCGTGGAAAAGCGCGTCTCGTCCCAGATCGTCTGTTGATAGTATGGAGGCTCCGTGGGCCAAGAGCGTTGTCATGGCTTGGACTTGCCCGCAGGCTGCTGCTACGAACAGCATGTCTGTAACCACATTCCCATCTCGTGGGAGGTTGCTGAGGAGCCATTTTACTACTTCCACTTTGCCATTCTCAACTGCCTCAGATAGCGGCGTGTTGGAATTATAATCGACCAACGACCAGTCGGCTCCGTATTCTTTCAATAACTGCAACATTTGCACATTTCCAGCCTGGGCAGCGCAGTGCGCAACAGTTCTTCCCGTGTCCTCGTCCCGCTGGTTTGGATCTTCCCCTCTTTGCAGTATTGCTGCAACGACATCTGTCATACCGTCGATAACTGCTTTGTGTAATGACATCTTAACATCACCTGAAGGATCCACAGTGATAATAAATCTGCTTGTCCAATGACCTGTGAGGGTAATTACTGTAAGTCAATATTTTATTTTTAATGGTTTTTCTTAAACAATTCATAAATACGTGTCAGTAATGACTATGATTCGAATATTTATCAGAGAATTTTGACGCTTTGTGGTCCCAGATCCCTAAATTATTGATACCATCTTAGATCATCGTCTAGATAATATTATAACTGCGTAGAGTTCATTAGCTAACACATAGATTCCCCACTATACTCTCAGTAATAGATTTCTACCGTATCAGTAAGTTTAAACTACAAAGCAAGGCTCTTCGACACCAAACAAATAGTTATTGAGCTGGTACAAATACAGTATAAATTCAGGGAAAGATGTGTATTATAACTTGACTCACTAGCGGATCCAGGATTTAATTTTGGAGGGAGGGGCTTCAGCCCGAAAGATTTTTTTTTCATAAATCTTCATAAAAATAATTTGAAAAAAAATAGTGAAATTAACTACCTATATGAAATCACAGACGGATTTACGGGGGGGGGGCTTTCGGGCTGAAGCCCCCCCCAAAATGGTAAAATGTAACCATGTTTTATGGTAAAAAATATAAAAAAATTATGTCTTAAAGTATTATTGCTCGTTTAATTACATTTAGTAGGGCTTCAAGAATCACTTAAACACCATTTCATATGGGTAGTTAGTATCTTTCTGTTTTTCCAACGTAATTATCGTTACATATATGAAAAAAAAAGCTTCCGGGCTGAAGCCCTCCCCATAAAAATTAAATCCTGGATCCGCTAGTGTATGAAATGGTAATTAAGTGGTTCCTGAAATCCTATTAAATGTAATTAAACGAACAAGAATGGTTTAAAAGATAGTTTTTAATATTTTTTTCTGTAAAACATGGTTATATTATACCATTTGTGGGGGAGGCTTCAGCCCGAAAGCTCCCCCCGTAGATCCGCCTGTGACTTGACTATTAAACTGTTAAGTAACTAGTAACTTTAACAATCATAGTAAAGTATGAAGCGGCAGTACTGTTTTTGTTGAACAGACTATTTTGATAATAATATATTGTATTTACGAATAAATATGTTCCGCTAATGTTGCTTATACGTCAAATATATCGTCGAATACAATAGGAATAACGATAGCCATCTGTCATCAGCTGTCACTGAGATATACTAGTTTAACCCTATTTAATTTATTATGTTTAAGATATTTAGTTAATTTGTTTGTATAGTTTCTATTAATATTTATTTGTTGCTATTAAAGCTAAAACAGATCTAAGATAATTTTAACCCACTTTAACATCTTTCAAAGAATCAAACCACCTCAACAATGGAAAATAACATTTTAATAACTAATAGTCGCACCATCCATAATCAACGGATCGTGCAATCCATAATCAACCGGTGATATGATAAATAAGACCTTTGTTATTTTAATGGTATTTGTGATTTGTTAGCTGTAATTTTTACTTTCACTTACCTATATATGTAATATATAGTAAGTGTAAGTATTGCGATCGTGAAAGTTTTTGAATCTGAGTTTTCAACAGAAATACACGTTTTGAGGTCCCCTGAGTCCAAATAACCATGTCCCGAAAAATGGTCTGTGTGTATGTGAGCACTAGCTAAAAACCGTAAAATCCTAGGAAACTGATATTACATAGTTACATATACATGCCTTAGATTTCCTGGCAACTTTTTCCTTAAAATCGGCTTACCGGAAGTGCCACTTTATATCAACGCTGAAACACATTTTTACAATTTTCTCAAAAACGGCTCTAACGATTTTGATTATACTCGGTGTGACATCGTATAATTAAGTGTTCTTTAGTATCATTTAGGTCTTATCCCCGTATATGTCACTTTACAGGGCTTAAATGCTCAATGTTCATATGCCTCTTTTTCTAAAGTAGCTTTAATATGGTTTATTTTAAATAATTAACTATCTCTTATTGTTAATAGTTACGAAAAATGCTAAATATAACTTTTAAAAGAATTTGATAATTGGATAAAGGAGAAAAAAATAAAAATGCTTATCCAGGTCGAAAATGAATCTCCGGAAATACTAGTCAGAAGGTATACGTATAATATATCTTTGGAAAGCGGGGAATTTTAGAAAAAATAATATCTAGTATAGAAAGTTATAGAAGGTAACAGAGAGTGGACAAAAAAATTATAAATAATCATTTTTGAAAACTAATAATATTTAACGTAAATCACCTGTTTTCAAGAAAATTAAATAAAATTTACTAACTAAATGTAAACTTTTATAAAATATGCTTTTTTTTTATTATTATTGAAATTTACAACTGTATTAAATGGTAAATAAAACAAGTAAATATGAACAAGTAACATGACATGTACAACATGAACAGAAACTACCCATTAATAGCACTCCATTGAATGTTTTTAAGTTTAAAAAAAATATTTAAAATACACCTAATCAAGGCATGGCATTGGTAAAAAAACTATTTCATTGTACTTGTGTGAAAGAAGAAGTAAAATATAAAATCATTTCATGGATTCATAAAGCATATGTTTATAACCTTAAATACATTTTCTGTAGTTTAATAATTCTAGCTCTGATTTTATATTTAAATAATATTATTCTGAAATATTGTCATGTAACTTTTTAGAAAATTAAATCAGTGAATAATTTGATGAATCTTACCTTTGTGATATTCCAAAGTATCCACTACTATTTTATTGTAGTTGTGTGAAAAATATTTCGTAGATACGTTTATAACCTTAAATATATTTACTGTAATTTAATAACTCTAGATCTGATATTATATTTAAATATTTAGGTATCTATCTTCCGTTTATTCCGAAAAATCATCATTTAACTTTTTAGAAAATTAAATTAGTGAATAGTTTGATGAAACTTTCTTTTATGTTATTCCAACAGTATCCACTTACAATTAGTGTGACAACTTTTGACCTGTCTATAATAGACAATACAAATCTCTAAATTCCGTTTTAGTACACTTTGCAATCGAAAATAACAGTTTAATAACTAGCAGTCATACAATCCATAATCAACGGATCGCGCAATCCATAATCAAATGGTAAGATAATAAAGAGGAATTTTTGTTATTTTAATGGTATTTATGATTTGTTAGCTGTATTTTTTTAGCATCAACTCTGTTAAAAATGCAATTCCAACATTCTATAGTATCATAACATAGCAAGAAAATAATTTCTATTTAAAGTTGAGCGGTAAGTGAAAGTTGTGTGTTGCGCGCATCAGATATTTTAATGTGTAAAATAAAATAGTACACGGTCACTAAGAGTTTTTAATATAATATAGAGATAAG